TTCCTTCTTTAGGTTGAGGCTCCATTCTTCCTGCATTGTTGTTGTCTGCCATCAAGTTGGAACCAACCCAAGGCTGACCCTCCAGCAGATTTTCAGAGGCAGTAAGCCACAAAAGAGGAGACTGTCTATCCTCTGGCAAAACAGCTGGGGATTTGAACTGCATGCCTTCAGGTTTGCAGCACAGCTTCTTACCACTAGCGCACCAGATCTACTAATGCACACTTATGTTGAGGTATAATCCGTAAGGGAGATCTGGTGGCCCAGTGGCAAGGAGTTGTGCTGCCAACATGAAAGCAAGCGATTCAAATCTTCCAGCTTCTCCACCAAGTCAGGCGCAGTCCAGTCTTTAGAATGGCATCACTGCTTCTTAGCATTTTAAAGAAGTCTTTGTCAGGAGATTTTTTTCTACAGTCTTTGCCTTCAGAATTTCACAGTGCAGATGTTTTGATTTCCTGACTGTTGGCATCAAGCTTATTACTTATGGGTATATACCTATAAGTGATATCACTATAGTATCTGAAAGAAAAGACTCTTTGGTATATGCTAACATATGCCAAATGATAATTGAATGCACTGCAATATTCAAATGGAAAACTGCAGTCTTTCAGCTTAGGGAGACCATAAATTCAAAGATGGGTATTTCAGAATTTAGGTATAGGCAGACCTTTAAGAGTTCATAGCAGGGAATATTTTCACTGGCTAGTTAATGTTAAGTTCTTCTGATTGGCTGTTTTTATAATCATTCAAGATATACATGGGCAAGGTTCCTGTGTAAGCACATTTAGCATACTAGTTAATCCATTTTTAAGCAGGAAGTCACTTCTTCCTTGCTTACTCATTAGTAGGGATGGGCCTACAGCATGTCTTCCATAGGTATTGACTTTAGATCCAAGTAAAAATGAGATCACTGTCAACTTCAATCTTCTCTCCATCTGTCTTCATGTGGCTTATTGATCCCATATTGAGGTTTTCTGCTTTCTTGATGTTGAGGTTACAGATTGTAAGTGAGCCTTCCTCCAATTGTGATGCCAAGCTCTACTTCATAGAGTTCTGCTTCTCAGATTATTTGATGGGCCTACAGATTAAGTATAGTAAAAGGATACAACTGATAAACCTTTTCTATTTCATTAAAAGTATATTTTGCTGGCGGAATAAGGTGGGGTCAAAGGGGTGAGGACAGGTGGATGTGGTTAATCAGAAGGTTGCACAATCTGGAAATGGGAAAGATCCAGTGTGGAAAACAATGTCTAGAAACTTTGTAAGCAAATAAGTATATACTAAAAATTTTATTTACATTAAAAAAAGCCTGTGTTTTGCTGTTTCTAGATTATTTTCTCACCACTAGGCCAAATGGCAGCATCAGTATGGATGGTAAAGAGATTGAGATAGTTAAGTTTTAGTTTACTTGGTTTCACAGTCAACACTCTTGGTAACAGCAGCCAGGAAATCAAGAGATGAATTGCATTGGGAAAGTCAGCTGTGAGGGACCTCTCAAAAGTACGGAAGAGCAAAGACGGCAGGCTGGAGACTAAGGTGCGCCTGATCCAGGCTATAGTCTTTGCAATTACGTGCTATGCATCAGAGAGTTGGACAGTGAATAGGGATGATAGAAAGACAATTGATGCCTTTGAGCGGTGATGCTTGAGAAGAGTGTTGAATATACCATGGACTGCTAGGAGAACAAACAGGTTTATCCCAGAGAGGGTGAAGTTAGAATGCTCCTTGGAGTCAAGGATTCTGAAGCCTCGTCTGACATATTTTGGGCATGTTGCAAGGAGGGACTGGTCCTTGGAGAGGGACATCAGGTTTGGGAGAGTGGAGGAACGGCGCAGGAGAGGAAGACCCTCAATGAGATGGATCTATTCTGTGAGTGGAGTGGTGGGAATGAGTGTGTCTGAGATGGCTAGGTTGGCACAGGATAGAACAGCATTTAGGGCTCCTGTACGTAGGGTCGCTATGAGTCGCAAGCAACTCGATAGCACATAACAACAACACACACTCTTCCACGTAAACAAGACAGGTCCGCCTTTAGGGACAATGCTTTCACAATGCTTTATTTTCATAATGCTTTCACAAGCCAGAAATCACACCCAGTGCAGCAGCATTAGTCAATGGCAAGAGTCAGCAGAGTTGATGTAACACATCATCTAACAAAACACAGTAATTACTAACCACCATTGCTGAATAAGGCCTGTAGCTATTTACAACAAGCCAAGGAAGAAGCCTTGGGAATAAAATGTCTTCCTCCAAAGGTCTGAGGGTAACTTCTCCCTAATTTCTGAAAGGAGCTCTATTGGCTTAGCAGTTAAGGGGTTGTACTTCCAGCTCAAAGGTTGTTGTTTGTTGTTATGTGCCGTCGAGTTGTTTGCGACTCATAGCGACCCTATGCACAACAGCCCTATACCCTGCTCTATCCTGTGCCAATCTCACTGCCTCTGACACATCCATCCAGATTACCCCAGTCACTGAATCAATCCACCTCATAGAAGGTCTTCCCCTGCTGCACTGTCCCTCCACTCTGCCTAGCATGATGTCCCTCTCCAAAGACCTGTCTCTCCTTACAACATGTCCAAAGTATGTCAGACGAAGCCCCAGAATCCTTGCCTCCAAGGAGCAGCCTGGTTTAACCCTCTCTAGGATGAATCTATTTGTTTTCTTGGCAGTCCATGGTACATTCAGTACTCTTCTCCAGCACCACAGCTCAAAGGCGTCAATTCTCCTTCTATCCTCCCTAGTCATTGTCCAGCTCTCTGATGCATAACAAGTGACTGCAAAAACCATGGCCTGTATCAGGCAGACCTTAGTCTCCAGAGAGACACCGTTGCTCTTGAGTACTTTAGAGAGGTCCCTAACCGCAGACTTTCCCATCACAATACGTTTTTTTATTTCCTGGCTACTGGTGCCAAGAGTGTTGACCATGGAGCCGAGCAAACTGAAGCTGTGAATAATCTCAATCTCCACCAGCTGCTCCAAGGGAGAGAGATGGACAACTCCTCCCATGTGATTTATTGCTTCTGAAAACCCACTGGTGGCTCAGCTATGAGTCTATTCCGACTCCACAATACATAACAACAATCCCTGAAAGAGATATTAGCCAACATGTGTCACCTGTCACATGCTTCACATCCAAGAGTTGCAAGGCTCCTAAAAAACCCCCAAACTGGCTGCCATGGAATCAATTCTGACTCAAAAGTAAAGGGCACAACTGCCCTAGAGAATTCTCACGGCTGCCAGTCTTTTTCCAAGCAGGTTATCACATCCTTCTCTCCTGGAGCAGCTGCTGAGTTCAAACCACCCACCATTCAGTCAGCAGATGAATGTTTAACCTCTGAACCACCAGGGCTCCTTATAACTCTACCAGGAAAGTATCACTTCATCCTTGGGTAAAACAAGTTCAATAACCTACCCAAGACCAGACAGTGGGCAGAAGGGCCCACACCACACCCTTGCTGTAGCCCATGCACCTCACCACCATACCACTGCCTCTTCATCCGCTGGAGTATATAAAGCAAGAATCAAGAAATTAGAGAAAAGACCTTTATTCTCCACCCCAGCAGAGGCTCATATCAAGGTGAAAGTTCATCTCGCTTCTGCACCACAAGCTAGGATTCAAGCCATCTCTGAGGGAGGATTATAATACTACCAAACAAACAGCCCATTCAAGCTGTAGCATTCTGAGATAAAAATAGCTCCAGATGTTATCTGGGATACAAGAGTAGGGGGGAACCCCATATTTCACACAATAATCTGTCAGCATTAACCACAAGGATCCAAGGTCACATACAGGAGGATACAAGCACAATGTAAAATGAGACACGGGTCAAATAAATTCCAGGAGGCATTAGGTACAATCACGCTGCTGAAGAAAGTTCCTGGGGGACTGAGGAGCTGGGAAGTGAAGAGCCGGAGCCTCCAGTTTTGTACAGGGCTGGGATTGCCCTCATTGCAGAACCCGGGGAAAGTGCTCATCCTAACACAGCAATACCAGGCTATCAGGTGACATACGAGTACCCTTACTCCAGTGGCAGGTTCTCTTCCATTCTAAAGATACCTTTGGGCACCTGCCATGCCTTCTGGGGAAATCCGCTGTCAAGGACCTTTCCAAAACCCTAAAGAGCTGTCAGCTTAAAGACCAAAGTGCACCTGGTCCAAGGCAAGGTATTTTCAATGCCATCATATGGATCTGAAAATTGGCCAGTGAATACCTTTGAGTTATGGTGTTGGAGAAGAGTACTGATTACCCCATGGACTGTCGAAAGAACAGACAGATCTGTCTTGAAGGAAGACAAGGATGATGGGACTCTGTTTCCCATACTTTGGACTTACAGTCAGGAGGGACCAGTCTTTACAAAAAAGGCATTATGCTAGCAAAGGTGAAAGGTTCAAGAAAGAGAGGAAGACCCTCAACAAGATGGATTGACAAAGTGACTGTAACATTGGGCTCCAGCTTATCAGAGATCACAAGGTTAGCACAGGATAGACCAAGATTCAGATCTGTTGTTCAGAAGGTGGCTCTGAGTGGTTAAGTGGACTCGAGGTCACGTAACAACAGTAACAACATGCCTCCAAACAAGGTCCCATCCAGCCCTCACCCTAGTGACCTTGTGCTTCAGAATCCCCGTAACAATTACACTCTAAAAAACCTCAAAGCATCCCACTAGGATGTTCTCTTGGAAAAAGGGCGTCTCGGGCCCCTGGCCTTTTCTGGAACGAGCCTCCCAGACTGCCTTCTCCGCGAGCAGGAAACCCAGGGGCTGGTCCCGTGTCTGGACATTCCCACCCTCCTTGGTCACTCAGCCGCTGATCTCCGTGACCACCTGCGGTGACACCTGGCTGTCTCTCCATCCAAGAGGAGAGCGAGCCCTTCCGACCCCTAGAGGGCGCACCCACCACTTGTACAGGGCAGCCCGGTGCAGCCAGCAGGGTCGGACTGCGCCGCGGGGGCTTCTGGGGCGCGGCCGGCGGCCTCCCGGCGCCCCCCGCGCACTCCTGCCGCTCACCCCGCCGCCGCTGACCGCGCCGATGCCATCGAACTCCCGGCCCAGCCCGTCGGAGTCGTCGAGCTCGTACGCGCCGCCGGGCGCCAGCAGCGCGCACAGCAGCAAGGGCACCGCGGCGCCTCCCACCGAACCCGCGGCGGCCGTCATCACTTTCATTCAGCGTTGCCGGGAAGCCTCTCTTAGGCGATCGGCCATTGTGTGGGTCACATGACTCCGGCGCCCAGGGAGGCGGGTTGGGCCGCAATCATGATGGAGCCAGGTGGGAGGTGACTGACGCCGCCCTCGCCATCTTCAGTGCGGGCGGCCAGCCTTCCACGCAGCCGCAGTCGAGAGGCGCGAAGTGGAGCGAGCTTTCCCTCGCGGAATCCCCGGTTGGATATTCTGCGCGTTTCTTCCCCGTGCTAGTGGGGGACAGAGGGAGAAAGGGCCAGGCTGGACCGTGCTAGTGGGGGACAGA